AAATTGTAAGAATATAGAATTCTTATAGTAAAAAAGGATGAATTATCGACGAAAATTAATAAAAATGTAAATTCATCGTAATATTCGTGTAAAATATTTAATAAAAATATTTAATAAATTAATAAAATAAATTTAATAAATTAATTAATTAAAAAAATTTCTTAAATTTAAAATTATTCACAACATTGTTTATTCCTTTAAATAGAAGAAATCTATTTAAAAATGTATTTTCAATTACTTTTTGAAATTCAAAACAATCTAATTTAATTAATATAATTAATAAAATAAAGTTCTTTAATTAAAATTTTATTGTTACATTCTGCATACAGTAATATGCAAAAGTGATTGTAATATTACCTTGAAAAGCTATTTCAAGATCTTTCATACTTGGTTTAGGAGCAGTACGTAGCAAAGCGTACATAGACATTATAATTCCCGGTGTGCAAAAACCACATTGTGATCCATGCGCTTTCGCTATCCGTTCTTGGACCGGATGCAGTATCGTTTTAACACTTCCGATACCTTCGATGGTAGTTACTGCTAAACCATGCATGGCACAAACCAATGTTAAACATGCATTTACTGCTAGATGTCTGTTTAAATTGAACAATTAAGGAAAATTACGCTATTTTCTTTTTCATATCAGACAAAATGATTTTATTATTTTTTAATTTTGAAATTTTGAATAATTTTTTAAAATCCAATTTTTAAAAAAAAATTCTTTATTAAAATTCTAATATTTATAATTCGAAAATTTGTAATCGTTATTTTTTATTTATTACAATATAAATCTAAAATAAAGATATATATACTATTTATATATAATAATATATATTTTAAAAAGGATACGTAATAATTCCTGTTTCACGATCCAATTTTGATATCATTACAGTGCATGCTCCACAACCACCTTCTGCACAGCCTAATTTTGTACCAGTTAAACGTACTAAATTATTCTAGTTAGGAAAATCTTCTTAGGAAAAATATATTTTTTTTTTTTTTGTATTTGTGAGTCTGAAAACATTTCAACTGGAGATAATTTAGACAATTTTTTCCTAAAACAATTTTGCTTTGCAAAAATTTTCATTTCAAGTTTGTTAACAAATTATTAACAGAAAACATTGGTATATAATATATACCAATATATACTATTTATATATAATAATATAATGATATAATATAAATAGATATTGCAAATATTTATTTTTATTCTTATGCGATTTTTGTTGAAAAATAATACAATGATCAAAAATAATCAATGCATCATAAAATCATGATATCATGGATAACTATCTGTAAAATAAACTTTATTGATAAGGATATAATTTAATTGAATCATATTACTTAATATTTTATTATTATAAATTTAAAATTATGAATCTATATTATCCCATGAATCCCATGAAGTAGATCTAAAATTTCCGTGATATTCAACGTGTTAATATATGAATATTTAATATTATATATTATATATTATATATTAATGATATATAATATATAATAATTAATATATTTATATATTAATTTTGTTAAAATGAAAAAAGGATACACTTATTTCTTAAATACCACAGTAAAGTCCATTCTGGATTAACACTATTATCAATCACCTATAACAGTACAAATAATCAATACTTGTATATATTTGTGAAAACTAATTTTAATTAATTAATAATTGTATTTTTTTTAATTTTTCTTTTGTAAAAATTGTTTAATAATAATGTTAAAAAAATAACAAAATGTTATAATATAAACAATTGTGTAATTATAAATATAAATATATATATACATATATATGTAGAATATTATAATATTTGAATAAAATTTATTATCAAGAAAACAGTTTTAATAAATGAACAACTATGAAAAAGAATTTAAAGAAAATATAAATAAAATAAATAAAATAAGTAAATATTAGAAGTAAATAAGTAAATATACAAGTTACTAGGTTTTTTAAGAATAAATATTTAAGAGTAATATTTTTGAAAAATAAAAATTTAATTTTAATATCAATATTTGTGACTATATTTTATTTTAAGCACAAAATATTTCTTTTTATTCTTCTTAAAATAAAAAATAATATATGTATAGATATAGTTATTTTTTCTATACGCATGCATAAATTTGAATGTATTATACAATATATAATATATACATATTATCAATATAATATTAATAATAACAATACATATTAACAATACAATAAATATAATATAATTGCATACCTCCTTGCCATTAACATAAAACACTAAAGTATGTGATATCCTGTCAAGATTCTCTTCGTTATTCAATGTGACAGGTTTAGATTGATTAATAATTCCTTCATCATGAACCATTTTTATTGGTTATTATAAATCTTAGCAATGCCTATAAAAGAGATTTTTTAAATTTTATCTATTTATTATTATAATATAGTAATATTCTTATATATTTATAATTATGCTTGATAATGAAGAAAATTATCAACTTTTTTTTATTTCAATATATATATATATATATATAATATTTTAATTTATAAATCAAATTCTTAATTTATATTTTTATATAATTATATAAATCTGTATCTTCATTTAGCATAAAGCAGCAATAATCCTTTTTTAGTGATTATATATCATTATTACAATTTATCTGATAAATAAGATTTTGATTTTTTATTATCAACAGTAAAGATATAAAAATGTTTTTAAACAAAACTTATTTTTTAATAATATACATATTGTTTTTACACAAATTTATTAATTTCCAAATATCTTTATTATAAATTTCAAATAATATTTCATTTATAAAAATGACAAAATTATTTTCAGGTACTTACATATATAATAGTATTTATAATATTGCAGACAAATATTTAACATACATAATGCTTTTGCAATATCTATTGCTTAAGTGAATAACGATAAGAATGACCTATGCTTCCTAAGAAGTCTTCAGTAAATAATAATAAAAAAAAGACTTTAATTTTAGAAACTAATAACATAAAAGTTCTATAAAAAATTTATGTAATTATATCTGAACAAAAAACAAATTGAAAATAGCTTTTTTCTTGATATCTTTTAAGTTATAAAGTTTACATTTCGTTTTATTTATTCTTAACATTATAATTTGAATAATTGTTTTATTTATGTTAAAAAAAAAAAACGATATTTATAGCAAAAATAAATTTTACACAAAATATAATTTTCGAAAATATTAAGAATATATTATATATTATATTATAATAATTTAATATATAAAAAATAGGGAATGCATGCTTGAATGAATAATTAAATATTTATTATTATTAAATAAATAAATAAAGAAATAAAATAATAAATTAATTTTTAATTTTATAAAATAGAAATAAATTAAAAGTTATACAAAATAATTATAGAAGAAAAACTTACTTTTCTTAAGTTGAAATTTTTAACTCAAAAATTCGTGTAGAACTGTTTGAACAACAATGAATGACACCATTAGGTTATCAAGTAAGATATTTTCTGTATTATGTTTTATCAAGAAGTTACATTAATAAAGCGAATGAAGTAATTTGTCTCTACTACGTCTCTTTTATTCCTCAGTCTCCCTTCTCTTGCAATGATGATTATAAAAATCATACATACACGAAGAAGCATATTTTGTTCAATAGAAAATCAGTATTGTAATTAAATATATTGCTTCGTTTTAAATTATATTATGCAATTAAGTACAATAAAAATTAGTTAAAAAATTATAGCAACATATTGTTTTAAATAAATATCAAAATATTTATTAAGCAGATCAAAAGCATTAAAAGATATTGTATAATTAATAAAATAAGTATATGAATAAATATATATGAAATATATATATATTTCATATTATAGAAACAGAGTATTATTCATTATTCATTTTCTGATGTTAATTAATAAATAATGTTAATAAATAAATTATATATCTTTTATTATTTTTATATTAAAAAAGTATTATAAATAAATATTAATATTTTTATAAATTTTAATATTTAAATTAAATCATTAAAATTTTTTTAAATTGCCAAATAAGTACAATAATATTATATTGTATTTTTTTTGAAGTACAATGATTATGTAAAATATATTATTAATAATATTATAATACAAAATAATTTCTTAGAAAAAGTAATGATTTAAAAAATTAAAATAATACATTATACTATTTTTTATTGATTCATGTATCATTCTATTATATCATTATGAAAATATAATATTTAATTTTGATGAAATTTTTACATATATATAGATATATATATATATTTTATTATAAATAAAGTAACTATTTCTTATTAAAATAATTTTAATCTTTATCTTAATCATTATGATTTAGAAATATTAATGAATTTTATAGATCATGCAATCTTTTTCAAAAATTTTTGAAAAATATAAATATAAAAAAAATATATATTTTAGCTTTTTTAAATTTATTTAATTTGAAAATAATTTGATATAATAAAATTCAAGAATGAGAAATTTGATTTAGAATTTATCTAAATCTAATATCTAGAATTTACATAAAATAATATACTATATGTATATATATATATAGATAAATAAATTGACTATTCTTAATCTGTTCTTTTCAGAAGATAGTGAGAATAATAATATTACATAATTAATTAAAATATCAATCAATTAATAATATTTTTATATAATCATAAACATAATTTTTATATTTGCTTTATTTATATGTATTCTTTTTATTTATACATATATATACCTATATATATTATTCATATATAACAATAAATTAAATAAATTTTATTTAACAAAAAAATATAAAATATAAAAAATATTTATTAAATAAATAGAAACGTTTAAGAATTGACATGTCATAATCAAATCAGAAACTAATGATAATAATGTCATTGATTAATTATTTGATATTATAATTATAATTTTAATTTTTATTATTTTTGTAATTTAATTTTTTTATTTTAATTTTATATTTAAATGAAAAAATTAATTTATCAATTTCATAATAGATAGTGCTAAAATCGCAGGTATTGATCTCTACAAACTTTCATATCTATATTTCATTAGATCATGCAATCAGCTGATTAGCATTGGATGTGAACGGATATTATATGTTATAAATTTGTCAAAAATTTTTTGTCTATCGAACATGGCTTTTTTTAAAGAAAATAACAATGTTTTGGTAGTTCTAGATAGTGATATTTCTAATGATGACATCGTAGACTTTATCAGTGCAATTCAAAAACGTCTCAATCATGCGGAACAACTTTCAATTGTGTCAACAAAAGAATTGAAAAAATGTAAGTACATAAATATTTTTAAATATGTTTACTTTAATTTTATGTAATAGTTATTTTTTCATTATATTTTTGTTTTTTTTCAGGTATTAATTCTTCTATTTATGATATAATTATTTTTATTTTTAAATTATCGTATACAAATATTAAAATATTTCTAGAAGAATCTTTACGAATCTTAAAACCAGAAGGGATATTAATTATTTATGAATCATGCCAACAACAAGAAAATGTATATTCTATTTTTGACGAAAGAGTATCTAGTTTGAAATTGAGTGGTTTTAAAGTAAAAGCGCAAGAATCTCTAGATACAAAACAGTTAAAAAAATCTTTTACTAAATATATACAATAATATTAATAATATTTTTGAAATAGTAGCAGAAAAACCTTCATTTGAGGTAAGTTATATATTTTTTTCATAAATTTTTCCAAAATTTAATATTGTTTTATTTAGATAGTTTTTATATTTATTATATTTCCAATTTATATAGATTGGTTCTAGTGTAACACTTAATTTTGGAGAAAAAAAATCTTCTAATATATGGAAATTAGACAATGCTGTTGATGAAGAATTAATTAATGAAGACGATCTTTTAGATGAAAGTGATATTGTCAAACCTATAATTAATAGTTTACGTGGTAAATATTTATATATATATTTATATATATATATATTATTTGTTTAAATATAATTTTAAATAAACATTTTAAATCTTGTATTAAACAAATCTTTTAATAAACATAATTTTATTATTTGTTAATTTTTAGTTAAATTTAAATTAAATTCAAAAACTCTTAGATAAATTTTCTTAAAGAATATTTAAAAAAAATTATTAATTATTATAATTTTTTTTAGTATGTAGTACAACAGGTAAACGAAAAGCTTGCAAAGATTGTACTTGTGGCTTAGCTGAAGAATTAAGTGGAAAAATTACAACAGAAGGAATTGTAAAATCTTCATGTGGAAATGTATGTTTATTATAATTTATATATATTTTTTTTCTTTTAAAAAAAATTCAAATAAAAATAGCATATTTCTTTTTTAGTGCTATCTTGGTGATGCTTTTCGATGTGCTAGTTGTCCATATCTTGGTATGCCTGCATTTAAACCTGGTGAAAAAGTAGTTTTACCTGAAAGTCAATTAAAAGCAGATTAGTGAAATATTTGTGAGTTATATATATATTCTATTTTTATAATCATTTTTTGCATGTAATTATTTTAATGACAATTTTTAATATTGTTAATTCACATTATTTTCACACAATTATTTCTATTATCATTTTTATTTAATGTATAGGATCTTTTCTTTTATTATTTTCATAAAAAATGAGAAAGTAGTATAATATATACAAAAAAATTTAATGTAGTTTAAAAGTTATGCAATAAAAATATAAAAAGATATATATTAGTCTTAATTATTTTTATTACATTTTTATTGTATACAACAGCAATCAACATATTAATTATATAATATTAATAGAATGGTACAAAATATTTGAAATTTTGATATCTTTCAATAATATTGATAAAGTATAAAAATAATAAAATAATTTAAGTAATTGTTTAATTACTAATAATAATATACAAATGAAATTTTTTCTTTTTATTATTGAAACAACAATTAAAATTCTTTTGATACATTATTATACATCTATATCAATTAAATTAAGTACAAACACAAAAAAAGTAAAAAAAATAAAACAATTTAGCTATTTAGAATACATCTGTGAAAAATTTATTTGGGAATGCAAGCCTTTCACTATAAATTCACTAACCCTCCTCTGGGGATGAGTGTTCGGGGAAGGACTACATTCCAAATAGTATTTAATATACATTTTACTTGTATCATTCTATTTGAACATATTTTGGAATTTAACAAATGATACAAATATCTTATATAAAATTGACTACTAAATTATTATATAATTATAATTATTAATAATATAAAATAGTGACATTGTAAAGGACAATAGTCTTTAAATTATATTATTAATTATATGGTATATAGGAACAAAATAAATCGTCATGTTCTTTGCTTCTACAACAGCAGGAACATTACTTCTCATAAAATAGAAGTATATATCGAAAACAAATAATGAATTATTTATATCGTAATATTGATATTTTATGTTTATAACCGAATTTAAAATAGCTCATAGCTGTATTACGTCTTTTACGTCCGTAAAAATTACTGCCATGCAATAATTGCCTTTCTGTTTCATCTATTTATTTAATACAATTTCATTTGGTGCAAAAAAGACATACTGCTATCAGTATGCTACTATTATTATTATATATGTGAATTTCTAGAAACTTAATCATGTTATTTTAAGATAATATTTCGAAATTATACTATTATACTTAATATTGATAATCTTATACAGAATCTCTTTCTCTCACTCTCTCACTCTCTCTTTCTCTCTCCTCTCTTTGGTATAAATTTAAATTTATGTTTTAATTAGCTATACATTGCTAGCTATCATTTATGAATAATTGTATAATTTAAGTACAAAGAGAGCGATAGAAAGTACAATTTGATTTTAGTTTTTTGGAAGCAATAAAACAGAAAATATAATATGATAGTTTCAAACAGATTCCTTCTGTTTTATCGTATTTAGTATAAGTTATTTTTACTTAAATATATAACAATTTGTACTCTATTTCAAAAACCAAGAGATTATGTAAAATCTTTCAGTCTGCAAACGAATTTCAGCACGTTTGTTGTACTTTCTATGGATGTATAAACGTCCATTAATTTACATAATATTTTTATTATTATTTAAAATTGTAAATAACTAATTTATAGAAATGGATTGCAGATTTTCTGTTATTTATCATGTATAAGAATTTGCATAAATATCCAAAACAATGTTATAAAATCTTCATATAAACAACCTTAATCGCTCAAAAAACGAATAACTCATTCATTAATTTTAAAGTTAAAATTTTCTAAAGTCACTCAAATCACATTATTTGCCTAAAATTCTCTTGTAAATACAAAAAAATTTTTATCAATATTCTTCTTTGATCGAAAATTATTTATAAAAAAAATATAAATGAAATAAGAAATGACATAATAATTTAATGCTTAAGAATAAAGTTCAATGATGAAGTTTCAACTTCAAACATTCATTTTTTTGTTTTTTCATAAACGTAATGTTCATAATAGTTTTGTAATCTAAGATTTTTTTTTAAATTGTACTCATTGTTAATAATATGTTGAGCAATTACTAAGCCTAGCAATTAAGGCATATTTTATGTACCCTTTAGTTGCACTCAAAATTAATATAGGATGTTATTTATTTTAATATATATTTTGTTACTATTGAAATAGTTTCAAAAAATGAATAAAAGTAAACAAGGAATAAATTAAAGAACTAGGAAATATTACTAACAAAGTATTATATAAAATTTGTATAAATTTTATATATATATATATATATATATCTCTATTACTTATACACCAAGACATTTCAAAAATGCCATGGAACTTAAAATTTGTTTTTTTTTATGAAAAATATATAATTGCATATTTTTAAAAAAAATTGATAATTCTTTTAATAATTAGATGAAATCATCTTTATATGAACACAGCCCTACATGTTATATAATGTAATAAAAATTAAGAGTCTTCGAAAAAGACCTTTGGCTTTCTTCTTTTGACTGTATCATCATCATGATGTTTTTGTATCTCATAAGCATTGTTATTAAATATAACAATAATACTACAGCATTCTGTGGTATGTACAGAAGTGTAGTTCTGCGAAGTTAAACTTTCCATGAATTTTTTATTAACTCCACAAAATCTTCGCCAATCAACACGTCGAGTTATTAGTTTATGCTACCATGAATTTTCTTCCATATTATCGAGCAAAGAATTTTTCTCTTCTTTTTTAGAACCATTTGTTCCCGGCACCGTTGCACATAGTTTTGGTTCGAAACATGGCTGTAAAAAATAAAAGTTTAAATATGAATCCGATAGTTTGCTTCGAAATTCTGGTGATATAAAGCATGATAAAAATGATAAATTTTTATAAACTCTATAAACAAATATATTTTAATTTTAATTAAAAAATAACAATTTAATTTTAATTTAAAATACTTTTAATTTTTAAAATTATTGTGAATAGCTGATATCTTAGAAAATTAAATTTGAAATAAATATAAAGTTTCAAAGATTAATCAATATATGAATAAATTATATGAAATGGCTTGTATAATACTGTAAATTATATTCAAAAGAAGATATTGAGCACATTAGGATATTCATGCTAAAGTATTAAAAATGTTTTCCTCATGATATTTTGTAGAAAGGTTACTATTAATTTTGAATAACTGTTTTATATTAAAAATTATTTATTCGTTCAAAACTTAAAGTTCTAGTAATACAAGTTGTTTTAAATTCATAATTACTAAATTTCATACTGCAACATATAATGGAGTATCGCATGATGATTATATATTTTTTAAATGAATCTATTTTAATATCCCAAAATCTTAACAAAAGCTATATAGTAATTTATATCAGTTCATGCATAATAAGATATTAATCAAGATGTAAACAAAAAATTATTATAATTAAATAATGAAATTTTTATCAAAATGGCATTCAAGTTAGTAAAAAGTAAATATGTAATTCTTTTCCAGTATTTAAATATTATGTATTCTAAATATAATTAAAAGCATTCTTAATTATAATTAAATAACAAGCATTATAAATTTAAAAAATTAGAAAATAGCCATGTTATTATTTTTTTGTTTTTGTTTTGCATTTAAAATTTTTTCTAAGAGAAAGAGAAACAATCTATTTAATTGAAATTCTTGTGTTTGTGTTTTATATCTTTGTTTTTATTTTTAAATCTTTAACTGTTTCTTTTTCTCTGATTATATATATATTTATATATATAATTGCAATATTTATTTAATATATTTTTAATTCATTGCATATATTATATGCTCATGCACGCAAATAATTTTTATATTTTATTTGGTAGATCACTCACAGTTTCACAGATATTCATGTTGCAGCAGTTTTCTATGGTTATTTCACATTGATTATCCGGCAGCTGTGGCCGAGACGTGAGCGGTGTCACACCGCTTTTGCTGACGACGAAACGTTTTTTGATACGTGGTCGTTTTCGGAACTTATTTACATAATAACTAAGTACGATTATCACGAGAGCAAGTATGCCAATGAATGCACCAAAAATTGGTAATAATGTTCTATATTCGTCTTCCTCTTCTTTAAATGTCACTAATTTTGCACCTTTTTTATTCTTTCAGCACATCTATTAACAGAAAATTAATGTAAATTCGTTTCAAATGAGAATTTTTAAATCATTTTCAAATCATATTTTAATTAAACTTCATTCGTAAAAAAAATTTATCAAACTATGAATAAAAATAATTGTTTTTATACTAATCCTTAAATAATAGAAAATTCATTAATTAAACAAATTATATACAATGGTAGTTTTATACATAATGTGATACATATGAGTGAATATGTAAATATATAAAATAATTCAAGGATTGGATTATATGCACTGTTTTGCTTGTTGTTAAAAGCATAATTTTTAATTATTAAAACTTTTGATATCAAATAAGTAATTATTTTAACTGAAATCGAAATAGATTAAGAATTCAAAACTTTTTCAAATTCTTATGAAATTAGAAGTTTATTAAAGCGATATACCTGCATTTAACGTTAAGAGAAACGCTAGTAGGAACTGGTTCCATGTTTGCACAAAATATTTCACAAAATTCAATTACATTGTTTAAAATCTCACAACGAGGTCCTTCAGAATATTTACACTTACAAACTGGTTTCTCATTTAGGACGGAACACTGACCATCATGCAAACAATAGTCTTTGCATGGATCTGTTTCACATCTTGGTCCAATAAATGTACTATTGCACTTACAGATGGGTAACCCATTAATGCTTATACTGCAACTACCTTGTAAACAATAATTATGACAAAAATCCGTCTCGCAATGTGTTCCAGTAAATCTGAAATAATTTAATTCATATTTAGTCTTTTTACATTATACAAATTTAGAATTCGATTTTTAAATTCCATATCAATAAAATCCAAACTCAACTATATTTATGTTATTAGATACTTACCCAGATTTACATTGGCATATTCCTTCTTTTTCGTTCATAAAACCATTATTCAGACAGTATTTGATCGTTTCAGTAGTCATCTCGTTTATTTCTTCTGTGCTAGTTGTTAAATTATTAGATGATTCACGAAGCGGTATTGTATTCGTCGTACTAATTTTTAATCTTTTTTTGCAATCTATTTTGCCAACATTATCACGCGTTAAAATCCCACTTGGTGCAATACCAGGATGCGATTCACGATAAGAACGAAACTTAATCATTAAATCTTCAC